TGAGAACTCTATCGGTTGACTGACAAGTTTCACATGTATAAATAAAGCTGTATATTTTTTTTTTCAAAAATGGACATTATGACATTCAGGTTTTGTTTCTAATAGGACACAGTGAAAAACACCAAGACTGGGGGAAAGAAGAGGAAACTTAAAGATGATGATGATGAACCACTGAAAAAAAAGAAAAAAAAAACAAAAAAACAAGTAATTATAAGAAGAAGTATATTTTCATTATACCCTTTGTATGCCAAAGCCAGTGATCACAAAATAGTTTCATTTTTAGTCTGTTGTTTTCCACATAAAATGTTGCGAACATTTTAAATTTTGTAATCAGGAGCTACAACTAATGTCACGTTTTGTCTGATTGGTTCAAAATTAAGATTGAATTCAGTCAAAAATACAAAAATAGTGAAGAAATTTACATAAATTTTAGCGGAGAGAAAATAATTTTGTGCTCTAAGGATTAACTATGATTGTTAACCCACTTTATTAAAAAATAATAAGCATTTCATCTGCTAGGGATGAAACAATAGTAAACATTTTAATTAAGATTGTCAGAGTATTATTTGTTACCTGGGGGTTAACTCATTGCTGAATCAAATTCATTTCTCTGAAATGGTGAAAGAAATACTTTATCACCATAATGCAAGTTTATCCACCGACGATAGGGCTTTGTAACTATTTATTGTGCTTCACATACATAAATAAAATCATGATGCAGATTACCAGACATGTACATTTGCAGAAACTTCATAAACTTAATGCATGTGAAAATGAGGGGGGGGGGGGGTATTGAATGTACCTGCAATGAGAGATGTAGCTTCTGCCTACATAGAATAGTGAAGACTTCCTTCTGCAGATTAAAAAGGCTAAAGATGTGGATCAAGAAAACAAAGATAATCCTAAGCTTAACGACATTGAAGAGGAGGAGAAGACCACTGATGATGAGACAGAAGATGAGGAAGAATGGAAGAGTGAGTGATCCTAATATTAATGTGCAGTGGTCGTCGCGCAGCGCGTGTTCGAATTTCATGTAAATAAACAATGTATTTTACACGCGTTGTATACGTCGCTATGAGTCCCATATCGAACAGGACGCGACGCAACGACTGCCGCCCATTAAAATTGTTTCATGTGGATTATAAATTGTACTCTTGTAAATTTGTGCTGTTCTGTTGCAGAAATTGATATGTCGTCGTGGTTGAATCTGCTGATACCTGAGCCCATTCTACATGCCCTGGCAGATCAGAAATTTACCTGTCCAACTCCAATACAACAACAGAGTCTAATCCCAGCCATTAGAGACTATAAAGATATCATCGGAGCGGCTGAAACGGTGAGTCATTAATTGATGCAAATTCTAATTATAATAATTACTACTGTAAACCGCTTAATTTTCGCTACTAGAAATTTTCACATTTTGATGATTTTGTGGTATTATTGAAGACAAAATTTCATGAAAGTCAATGACACTGTGTCATAGGTCTGACTTGCAAAATTCACGAAAATTTGTGAATAATAAATTGATACCCTAAGATGCACTATGTGTCAGCACTAGCACTTGCAATTTGCACATTCAAAAAAAAAGTCAGGAGAGACAACAGTGACATTCAATGTCCAGAACTGTCGCCTGGCACAGAAAATATTTAAAAAAAAAAAAAATGATTACCTATCAGATTCAGGTATATTCTCTCATGACTTGACTTTGCATTTAGTCATGACCTTTGAAGGTCATACATCCTGGTACTTTTGGATGTTCATGTACGTAGTCAAAGACTATAAAGTGTGAATACAATTCTAATTTTTAAGAAAGGGAAGAATGTGAATTTGTCTTTGGTGTTGGGAAAAGATGAAATTATGTATCGGTGTTTGCATTTTGGAGAAAGTCAAAATTATCTTAGACTTTTGTTTGGATGTCTTTTTGGATTTGAAGTTCATTTTGAAGGTACACCGCATACATAACAAATCTTGAGAAAATGATCACTTTTGTCAATTAACGAATTTCAAAAAAAAAATGCCCATGCAAATTTAATTATGAATTTAATATATCATGTTCCAGAAATAGATTTTTGATGAGTTGAATTTAAAATATTGAAAAAAAGTTATATTCGCTTGATTAGATTTTTACTGAATCGTCCCTTCAGCGAAAATAAATTCCAAGTGAAAATAAAGTATTTTACAGTATCAAAAATTATCATATGGCGTAATAGAACGTGACACAGTAAGAGACGTTGTATATGTGCAAACCAGTCTTCCAAACCTAATATGGCGCGTTTGGAAGGTAGGACAGTCTGTACTCTTTTTCGTACTACTGAGTGACCAGTCTCGTCGGGAAATCAAACTTGACACTAACCACTTAACCATCACTCAGGTGTTTGCCACTGTTTCCCGTCCCTATTTCTCTAGTATATTCTATTTAACTAATATTCGTGCTGTGTTTTTTAGGGAAGCGGTAAAACATTGGCTTTCGGTATTCCTATCCTGCACCATATATTAAACATACAAGAAAAAGAAAAGAGGCGCAAAGTGAAAGATTTGGAGACTGGCGAAGACCACCAGCATCAGGGTTGTAATGACTTGTTAGCATTGGTATTGACACCTACCAGGGAATTAGCGATACAAGTCAGAAACCATCTTGTTAAAGTTGCCAAATATACCGGAATACACGTATGTTGTTTACTAGTATACTCATCATATAAATTTCAGTCTAATATATATTGCATTTTTCAAGCCAGAGCTTTGTCGCCAGAGTTATGTATATTCTAAATTTTGTTACCCTCCTCAGATTGCAGTAGTCGTTGGAGGTATGTCGAAGCAAAAACAAGAAAGAATTTTGAAGAAAAAGCCACAGGTTGTCATAGCAACACCTGGTAGACTATGGGAACTTGTACAACAGGTAGAGATTCACTATCATGTTTTAATTGGAGTACAGTACAGTGATGGGTGGGCTGGACCATCATAGTCTTTAAGTAAAGAATATTATATTCCCTCATATGTCCTTTTAATTTCATAGTTTTTGAGTGAATATGTTTACTCCCTAACAGATATATCAAATTCAATATTATTGAATGCATTTCCAAAACATGAAAAATATTCACACATACATGTACAATCACTGAACAATCATAACTTATAAAAGACATCTCAGGCATTTTGGTCTTCTGGGTCTGCTTGATACTTCAAGCTATCAGAGAGCTCATACTAAAAATATTTTTGAGAATTAGTTCCCTTAAGTATTATATTGTGCTTATTTTACATATGTCATTATTAATTAATTCCTGACATTCCATTCATGTTGGAGACATTGTTGATTATTTTGTTGAAAATGGCCGCCAATCAGCCAACTATGATTAGATCATGAAAAGGATTGGAAGTGCACCAGCTTTGATTTAATAAAATCAGTCACACATATTATGTCCAAATTCATAAACCCCTGTTTCAGATTAACAATTAATTCATATGCTGTAACCATGGTAAGGTTCTTCACCTATTTTAATTTTTTTCCCTCCAATTCTTCCCAAATCTATTTATTGTGAAATTGTCTGTTCTGATTCTAGGGTGACACTTATCTGAACTCAGTCAGTGATGTCAGATATCTTGTTATAGATGAAGCAGATAGAATGGTGGAACGTGGTCACTTCGCTGAGTTGACTTCTATAATAGACTTAATCAATGGGTTAGTATAGTTTCCCTGTTTCCATGACAATGGCACTTAAATGTGTTCCTGATTTACCGATACTTTAAATAAAGCTGTCAGTCACTGGAATTGCACCATGGTATTGTGGGGATGTATTATCTGTGATTGTACGCTACATGTATTGTTAAATATTGATAATTCAATGAAGTAAAATTTGAGTTGTAATGGTAACTCAATTTCACTAAGGATTTGTAACATTTCAGTTACTGACTTTAATACCATGACAAAAATGGTGAATTGAAAGGTTCAATCAGCAATCAGCTAAACTGAGGTTAATTTACATACAACAGTAAATACATGCTCTGTCAGCTACTCCTTAATAATTCAATTCATACTCTGTGACATTACCGTAAATGACTAATTTGTTTATTTGGCAAGAATCGGCATTGTTGAAAAAAAGAAACATTCCACTAGGTCACATTTTTAATAATGTTATAATAATAATGAATAAACTTTAAAATTAATATCATCAGATGCAGATTTGCAAATTGGTAAAAAATGGAAAATTTTGATACTGTAGAATACATTGTACTTTATTTTTGCTATTTTTGCCTCAGTGAAACTAAAATACAGCGAATATACCTTTTTTCCTATTTTTATACATTCAACTCATCAAAAATCAGTAAAAATAAATTTAATAACATAACACCCAAAAAGTCTTACAAAACACTCAAAAAGCTTTTTCAGCGAAAATTAATTCCAGCTAAAATAAAGTATTCCACAGTATTTGATTTAGACACTATATAGTATAGTAATTTGGTGTAAATTATTGATTATGTGCTGTGTTAATTTACAGAAGTAAAAAAACACACAAAAGGCAGACATTTGTGTTCTCAGCCACGCTAACTATGGTGCACCTGGGACCAAAACGAAAATTAATGAAAGGAAAGTTTGACATGAACAAGACACAAAAACTGGGTATGTATTTATTTACTGACGATAAATGTATGTCATGTGATGCGCAGTAGCCAATGGGTGAT